GTTTTCAGAAGACAAATAGTTATTGCTTTGTTGAGTAACTTTGTCACTTTTAGAAAAAGAGAGTTTCGGTATAGGATGTTTGATTTTGAGAATTTTAATCTGGTTGCAGTAGTCTTTTTGTTCTCTTTCCGAGTATGTTTGCCTTGTGGACATTTTACTCACAGGGACTCTGCTTACAACCAGAGAAAGTTAGCCAGAACTGATAGATTATGAGAAGGAAGTGTGTTTTGGGGTAGAAACTGTAAAGAAGGTGTTCAATTTGTGTTGAGCTAGAATGAAATACACGACAAAACTAAAATCTCATTTGATAATTATGAGTTTGTGTTCCTCTGTTTTATGATCCAAGAAACATTGTGAATATCAGGGACACAACACAATAGCTTAAAAGAAATGTTGAATAAAATTTTCTGATTTTTTTTCTAGCCAGCTGCTCTGATAAAATCTTATGTCACTGTGGGGTGAGGCATAACTAATTAATTGGATACAAATGAATTTAAGTTTTAATAGGTGTTAAATGGGAAGTATGTAAATTATAGTGATGCTTAGTCCTGAAACATCAAAAAAGCCATCATCAGAAATAGGATGTAGTGTTGCACTGACTTAACATTTATACTCGAGTATAAACTGACCTGAATATTCGCAGAGGCAACTAATTTTACCACAAAAACTGCATAAAAATGTGCTGAAAAACTCGGCTTATACTTGAGTGTGTACGGTACTTGGTTTACAAACCTACGAAGTTTTCCAAGGCTTTTGATGTAACAGGAATTCCCTGGCCAATCTAGTTTTATGTATTTATTCTTAAATTATATCAACTCAAGAAAATCATCCAATTAATTTTAAAAGTTTTAAAAATTTCTAGTTGGACAGTTACAATTGATATACATAGATATTTTAATTTGTGTTACTACTGTAATGGAAAGGAAGGAAAGAGTTCGGGATCTTGTAATGTGAGACCAGAGTTAGAATCTTCATGCTTCCATTTATAGACGGGCAAGTATCCTCCTTAGGGTTCATTCAGGTTCTTCTGTTAGTATATGATTGTGTCAGCATTTACAATGGAGCTTTATAATGTGTTATGTATTGTCTTTACAACACAGGCTTTTTTGTAGAGAATTTGTTGGATTTATGTTGAGTGGCATGAGATAGTGTGCAAAAATTACAAATTTTCTTTGTTTTTTAAAAGATGTTGATATGCACACGTGTATATAAGAGGAATTTTTTAGTGATTTAGGACTTTTTTCCTAGCGGTATAATGAGATATGCATACTGCCAGTTTTTAAAATACTGCTTTTATAATTGGGTACAAGTATCACAATTACTTAAACATAATGGTGTGGGAACAAAATGTGGAGATGGATTGATTTCATGACCTGTGAGAGTAAGGAGAAAATTGCTATCCTTGCATCATTTAATTGAAATTATTGAAGTTTTATGTAAGCTTGACACCTGTTCAGCAATGTCCTTTAGCTGGTTTGGAAGGACAGTAATTCAGCTAAGGTCATAGGGGGCAGGTATATGAGAGGGCTTCAAAAAGTTTGTAGTAAGATGGAGTGAAAAGATAGTTTTACCATGACCTTTTTGACACCCTTGTACACTAAGAAATAGTTTATCCACCTACATCAATCAGTTCCCTGGGATTGTCAGGTCATGGAGCAAGGAGGGATTTGATTAGGGTGCTTCCACCTTATTTTTTACCCCCCCTTTCCCTAGAATTCTCTGCTAAGAGATGGCATTGTATTTAACCTATACAAAATGATATTTTCTAATATGGCTAATGAACCCTGGTGGTTGTGTTGGTGAGCTGCTAGCCACTAGGCTGAGGGCTTAGTGCCCACCAACCAGAGGTTCTGTGAGTCAGAACTAACTTCATGGCCGGAGTAATGTGGTCAGAGGATGAGGAGTAGAAAATTAGAATGGGGTTGCATTGCATGGGATGAGGCTTTTTGTGGCTGTCGTATTTAGGAAAAAGTGGGAAGCACTTTTAGATAATATATATGATTTTTAGAGTATTAGCGTTTTCAGTGTTAATTTTCACCATTGGTCCTAGGATATATTTTCAGTTGCCTGTGATTTATTGACCTAAATAAAAAATGTTCATTTAATCTGTCATATTTATTGATAAGACATCTTGAGGAAAGGCTTGGAAAATGCTTGATAATTTATAGCTTTAAGTTGTACTTTCAATTTAAGAGTTTTTTTGTTTTGTTTTTTTAAAGGAGCCCTTCCTAAGGCATATCCTGATAATCATCTCAGTCAGGTGGATGTAAATGAATTGTTCTCAAAATTGCTAAAAACAGGAATTCTCAAATTGTCCCAGCCTGATTCAGCTACAGCACGTAAATATGGTTTTATCCGTAATCTATATAAAGCTTAATTAATTTATAGATATATGTGATATTATATAAAGATATGTTGTTTTTCTTAAAATAAGTGAATTCTGTCATACTTTTTGTGTGTTGAAAATGTAATTGGTTTTTAATGGAATCCTGAGGTTAAAATCTTACCTTTGTAGTAACTACCTTTGGAGCAGATACCTGTTTCAATTAACTAACGTTCTTGAAAGTACCATATGTAGACTTTTACTAAAAGTCTTCATTAGTTTAGCTTTTAAGGAAGCTTGAATATTAGTGAAATAAAATATTACCAGGATGGACTTTTTAAGATATCAGACTTAAATTATTTATCTTGGACATTAAGCTTACAAACTGAATAGACAAAAGCTGATTTCTCTGTATGCTGTATTGTTCCTCTATTTTAAAATTGTATTTGCATTTGTCTTTATTGAAGAAGTAAATGAAGTTGCTGCTCATCCTCCCCCTGAAGAGGAGGAGGATCAAAATGAAGATCAAGATGTCCCAGATCTAACCAATTTTACAGTTGAAGAATTGAAACAGTATGTAATATATATACTTTTAAAGATTAAAGGGATATTTTGTTTTAATAACAGTAGGTAATATTAGTGCCATTTCTTTTTCTTTAGTGCTATTTCATTTTACTTTTTACCGTTTTAAGATGTAAGGAGTGTGTTTTTAAATTCTTAGTCTAAAAGACCATTTCAGAATTTCTATTTTTTAACTTAAGTTTAAATACTATTGGTACATGTATTCCTGTCTTTATTTTCTTTTAATCACTAATTTTTCTTTATATAGTTTTGAAGTCAAGAAAAAGTTATTTCTTTTATAGTCTAGTATTTGAGCATTTAAAAAAATTGATAGTCATTTTATAATGAAACATTCATTTTAATGTTATCCTTATAGAGGCAGCTCCATTATTCTGAATTATTTTACTATTTTGTTTTCCTGTCTGTAACTTTGTTTTGTCCTCTGTGACTTCCTGATATTGACAATGAAGACGGACCTAACTGACCAACTCCTGAACTATCTTCTACTGTCATGTTCAGTGTTTCTATTATTACTATTAAGTATTTGTCACTAGGTGGTACAAATGGTTAACACTTTTGGTTGCTGACCAAAAGGTTGGAAGTTAGAGCCACCCTCCCCACCTCCTTTAAATGCCACAGATGTAGCCTGGTGATCTACTTCTGAACATCACTCATTGAAAATCCTTTGAAGCACAGTTCTACTTTAAAACCGTGACGTTACCGTGCTTTGGAATTAACCTGACAGCAAATGTTTTGGTCTTATATTTTGTTTGCAGGTTTGCAAAGTACTATTAGACTGGGCTGTGCTGTATCCGTTTTTAAAACTTTGCCTTTTCCTGTTTGTTCACTTATCTGTGTACCTGATTGCTCCCAAATCTCGACTTCAGAGTTTGTAAAATAGAATATTGACCTGTTTCCCACTAGTCTTCTAATTTTTGTGTTATTTTTCTGTTTTCCATTATTTTTAGCTCTTAGTGGGGCCAGGTAGTTATTAGAACTCCAAAGATCTAGAGAGGTGAATTCTAAGTGTTTTATGCAGCTAAACTGCTAAGACTGAACCAACTACTGCCTCAGTAACTGGCAGATGACCATGTTTTTAGCTAAAGGGAAGTAAGTGGCTGGGGCCAGGCCTATCGATGTGTTCGATGTTCTAAAATCACTGGAAAGGATGGTTGATGACATGCTACTAGAAAATAATGTCTTCGTGTATTGCTATCAAAACTTAAAAGAGTATTTCTATGTTTTTGAAAACAGACGTTATGATAGTGTTATAAATAGACTCTACACTGGTATTCAGTGTTACTCTTGTGGAATGAGGTTTACAACATCACAGACGGATGTTTATGCAGATCACCTTGACTGGCATTACCGACAAAACAGAACTGAGAAAGATGTGAGCAGAAAAGTCACTCACAGACGCTGGTATTACAGTTTAACAGTAAGTAATTCACAGGCCTCTGAACTGACATTTTACAACCGTAATGGTATTCTAAAGATATATTAAAGAGTTGAGGGTCATTAAGTTTTTGAATAAAATTTGACATTTAGTGTATAAGAAAAGCTCTTAAAAGAACTTTGAAGTTTTTGTATTTGCTTTTTAGTTCGGATTAGGCCACAAGTTTCTTCCAGCTATAAAATTCTAAGATTTTGTGTTTGTTTTTTTTTAATTCTTCAGAAACAATACATGAAATCTACCTTGTTTAAATTAGTAGTTGCAAATCTAGAGGTAATGAAAAGATTGCAGTAATAGATATAAAAGTGTATGTTTGAAGAAAGGTACCTGACCTTTAAAATTGTACTATATATTCAATATTGTATTAAAAATCTGCAGTAAATGGAAATATTCTCATTTTTAAAAATTTCTAGGACTGGATAGAATTTGAGGAAATAGCAGATCTTGAAGAGCGTGCAAAGAGCCAATTTTTTGAAAAGGTTCATGAAGAGGTTGTTCTTAAAACTCAAGAGGCTGCTAAAGAAAAGGAGTTCCAAAGTGTACCTGCTGGACCAGCTGGAGCAGTTGAGGTAGGAGAATGTTTACATTTTTTTACCTGTGAGTGTCCCTCACTATTTTGAAGTTAAATAAATGTAAAGATAGCATTTCAAAAAAAAGATAGCATTTCATTTACATTCCTCTTTTAATTTATAATTTGTAAGGTTTACTCTTTAAATGATCTAGGCTTGGGTTTCATAAATGCTACAGTTACATTGTATCAGTGATCAACACCAGTGAAATGTTCTCTTTTGCCTGGAAGATTACAGAATCCTTTCTTTTGTATATGTATTATATACTAAACCTATTTAAAAACTTTCATAAAATCCAAATTCCTTTCCCCATGTAACACCATCTTCTGTTTAATGGAATTAAATTCCCTATTATATTTGATTCTATTTTAGAGTTGTGAAATCTGCCAAGAACAATTTGAACAGTACTGGGATGAAGAGGAGGAGGAATGGCACTTAAAAAATGCTATTAGAGTAGATGGAAAGGTAAGTTTAAGTTCTTTTATGTAGGAAGTATTAAGATTAGCATTCTTTTATAGAATTAGTTCACCATTTAAAATAAACATATTTCTTGGTTTTTTGGCCTTAGTGAAAAATGTATTTCTAAGGTATTGGAATTTAGTCATAGATGCTGAAGTTGGAAGGAATATCTGGTTTTGTACTCATTTTGTAAATTAGGTAACAGATCTAGGTCTTGGTTTTCTAAGTGTGGTACTCTTTTTAAGCATACTATATTGATTCTGAATTTACATTTCATCATCCAAATGGTTCTTATCAGCAATCCATTTTAGTCTACTTAAATGTAGAAACCAAATTTAAAGTGAAACTCTTACATGTAGGGGTGACAACTCCCCTCCTCCCCAACATTAGCAAGATTTTGTGAATTACCTCTTCAATTATTTTCCCTTCAGATTTATCATCCATCATGTTATGAAGATTATCAAAATGTAAGTTTCTTTTTGATTACTGTTCTCATTTACGTTAGTAAATTTTACTGTTACGAATTTTTCAGTCAGTAATGTCTTTCCCCCCCACAATAGTTATTAATCTTTATAGTATTTATATTTTATAGTCTTTGATTTTAGGTGGCACTTAAATAAGTGACATTAAATATTGATTTACATCTTAGTTATTGAGAGGTAAATGGGACACATTAACTCCCAGAGTATTTGCTTCATGCATTTAAAAGGCAGTTTAGAAGATAGATTTGTTATTAAGAGGCTAGAATTTCTAGGATATTTTGGTTTATAAGGATAGGAAAATCTTGAATATTTGAAATGAGGCATCACAAAAGCCCCAAGTGGCTTCAAAATGTTGGTGAAATACATGGAATTTTCCCACGAGCTCTTTGAAGCTCTCTCCTATGTAGGGATCACTATTTGTAGTGGTTAAATGGAAGCATGTCATAGCAGCTTCTTTTGGCCTCCTCATTTAATTTAGATGGGCTCATTGTTGAGTTTGTGTGACACAATTAATGAAATATGAATTAATTTTTACGTAGACGTGGCAAGGCATTTAACTCAGTTGGTGTATGTACGTTCCTTTCCTCCCAGACATCGTCTTTTTAAAACTCGATGTCATTTAGTGTGATAATTTTGAACCTTCGTGGTGCTGACTTTTTTTCATTTTGTAGACATCTTCATTTGATTGTACACCATCTCCCAGCAAGACACCAGCTGAAAATCCCTTGAACATTATGTTGAACATTGTCAAAAATGAATTGCAGGAGCCTTGTGAAAGTCCCAAAGTTAAGGAAGAACAAGTCGATACTACTCCACCAGCTTGTGCAGAAGAAAGTGTAGCCACACCAACTGAAATTAAAACAGAAAATGATACAGTCGAGTCAGTTTAAATAAAATGAGAAAGGTGTGTTTTTCTTTTTTACAAAAGCTGCTGTTGGATGTAAAAGGTGAAGAATTTTTTATGTATATATAGACCTATTATCTATATAAATTGTCTAGCTGAGGCAGGGCCTTTAGCTATCATTTGGTTAATAAATACATTTTAGTATTTGCATTTCCTACTGCCTGCACAGTTTCAGGTGCTTGTTGTGTGAAAATTCTGTAGATGTGTGCAAATTTAACAAAATGAAATTGTATGTGTAAAAAATGTACGATTTTCACTTGTGAAATTGTAAATTATAAATAAAAAATATTTTTGCTATCCATGGAGTGTAATATTTATGCACACCATCAAATAAAGACAGTGTTTCTGTACTTTTTATTGGGCTAAAATGGAACTAAACAGCAACTTCACCATAAGATTTTTTTTCTAGTAGCTTCCCATGGTTCAAAACAACTCTGAAGTTAAGTTTTATCCTTCAAAAGGGTTGTGAAGAAAGCACTGTAGACATTTCTGAAATAGAAAAGTTTTGAAAAATTTTTAACTAGTTCATCTTTGCATATATATATATATATATATATACATACATACATACATAGCTATACAGAATCATCCAGATGACCACTTTTGAAAAGTAGCTAAGAGTAGCTTTTACTCTTGAACACGAACATTTATGGTCCCGTCAAATGACTTAACAAATACATTGAAGTACTGCTGGTGATTTTTTTGTTTCGTGAAAATTTTTTTGGTCTTTCATCACACAACTTAATGCAGCTGAACACATCTTTTTTTAAGTTATGGGGTGGAGGGATGTCTGTAAGAATGTTCATTTGAGACATGGTTAACCTTTTTTCTTTTGTTTTTAAACTGAATTAGATGGATACCATAAGATGTTAATATTAATACATGTAATAAATAGAATGAAGAAATTCCCAGTTTTGTGCATCTTTATTTCTTTAAAGTGTGACTTTTTCTTTTCTTTCATCTCTTTGATTTTTAAAACATGAACTACTATTAGCCAAGCCCTCTGAGATAAAATTCTTTCATTGGTTGCAGACTGCCAAATAAAAGCAGGTAATTTGAGACTTTTTAGATATATACAAGGGGGCTTAAAAAGGTAAACTCCATTACCGTTTTAAGTGACGTTTTCCATGAACTTTCTTAAGATCCCAAGATGAAAAGCTGGAAGCACCCAGTTCACTAAAAGTGGTAGAACAGACTGCGGGGAAGGGACAGCAGTTGGTGTAATATAAGAAAATAATTTATCAAAGGGTCATGAAGGTAAGGGGTAGGGGAGGGTAAAAAGTGCCAATACCAAGGGCTAGAACGTAAAGGTGGGAGGGAAGTTCAAGAGCTGATACCAAGGGCTCACTCAAATTGATGGCAAGATGTACAAATATGCTTGCTACAAGTGATATTTGGATTGTTTTATGAGCCCCCAATAAAATTATCTTTAAAAAAAATATTAAACCAAAATCTAATTCTTAAAAGATAATTGAATTTTGAGAAAGATCATTTAAAGAAAAAAAATGAAAAGGAAAAAAATCTGGTCTATACTTAAAATCATGGTAAACCAAGAAAAAAAAAGAACAAATAATTGAACCTTACTTTGCTTCATTTTATACCACACTATTTCTGCAATAGTGTTGGGCAAGGGGAGGAAACTGGGACAGTGTTTGCAAAGTGGAAACAATCCCCGGGAGGCATTAGAATCGAAGTGGGGGCTGCAACAGCAGATACTACTTACCCTTTATCCTAGATTTTGGATCTTAGTACAAAATGTTTAATTGCGGAAAAAAAAAGTTTAATTGCTAGAGGATACTGAGTAGGCCCAATAAGTTTGGAAACTAAAATGATAGTCTAGACCAGAGGATGTACACTGGTACAGATAGGAACTGGAAACCTGGAATCCAGGGTGGATGATCCCTTCAAGACCAATGATGTAAGTGGCGATACTAGTAGGGTAGAGGGAGGGTGGGTTGGAAAGGGAACTGATTACAAGGATCTACATGTGACCTCCTCCCTTGGGGGGGACAGACAACAGAAAAGTGGGTGAAGGGAGACGTCAGATGGGCAGTTCTATGCTGCCCCAGAGGGTCACTACGAGTCGGCATTGGCTCGGTGACTGACAAAATATAAGTTATCAAGGGTTCATGAGGGAGGAGGGGAGCGGGAAGGGAGGGTAAAAAATGACCTGATGCCAGGGGCTTAAGTGGAGAGCAAATGTTTTGAGAATGATGAGGGCAATGAACGTACAAATGGGCTCTTAAAAAAAAAGTTATAGTAATAAAAAAAATAACTCCTAGTGTAAGAGGTAGGTATACCAAATTGCCTAGAGATAGATTAAGGAAACCTTTATAAGAGGTGGTAAGCCTTGAGTTTGGAGGCTAATTAGGATTCGAGTGTACATGTGTAGGCAGGACATCTAATAAACTGTATATACAAAGGCTTATAAACACCATGTGTTTGCAAAATATAACTCTTAAATGCCAAAACACTAATTTTAAATAAGATCTAAGAGCCTTGAACATGCAAGTTTACATTACTCTGATGACCATGGGATCCACTAGAAATTTTAAACAGAAGTGACATCTGTACCTAAGAAGGGTGTAGGAAAGATCAATCAAAATTTGAGATGATTAAATGCTGCAGAATGACTCTGTGAGAAAACTGATGTCCACTGGATTTGGGAGTAAGAAACACATTACAGAGTAGGTGCATTTAGGAATATAGATGGATACTATATTAAAAAAAAACGAGTCAATCAAAATGTAGCCAAAACTTTGTTACACATTTTTCTGGGGAGAAAATCCTCAAATGCCTAGTGATATATAGGACAAGTGTGCCAAGAGTATGTGTGTGTGTGTGTGTGTATATATATATATA